AGGGACGAGAGTCAACAGAAGTGGAGTCCATTTAGGAAAGGAAATGAAGAGCGTTAAAGTCAAAGTTGGCGCCAAGATCATCTATGAGCTGTGCCGACATGATCCGAACGCCAATGGGAAACGTAACCGATCATAAATGATCGTAAGTGATTGACAAATGTACTGTAATTGTAAAGAAAGGGGAGGAATATTCAGCTTTTTCTAACATATTTTTGACAAAACCCTTGAGGAGTTTGAGTTACATTAACCCCTAAACAATCATTAAATGATTAAACAGACAAATTAAAAAAAACAAAGAGCATATTTTGACAGCCATCAGAGACTATCATAATCAATCCGATTGTAATTCATACAATAATATATAACATAATACCTTATATTAGAGGTGAAGTTGTTCAAATGACTTGTGGAACTGAATATAATCACATTATTTTATGACAGAACAACGTCTCATAATAATTGTACTTTTAGGAAACAAATGAAAACTTGGCCTCTATGTTGAGAGCCATCACATAAGAGGAGCACCGCCTGCAACAAAACAAGTACAAATGTTACGTAAAATAATAAAAAAAGTTACTCTGTACCAGTTCTCTTATTATTGCCTCCCTCCCACGTTGAGTCTCAGTTCAATGAATTTATTTGTACAGAAGAGCTCTCCTCTGTTTAATACCCTAATCAGCATTCATACCTTGCTGCGATGATTCGGGACAATGCTTTTTTATTGAGGAAGTGATCTCACCCTCGAGTGCCAGAATCAGCCCTTTTTACAGCCCGTCTCCTCTGAGCCTCATCCATCAGCGGCGTGTCGGGCCAACATGGCCACCAGACACCCACTAACTCATTTAAGGAGGGGAACATGCGAGGACACATCACTCACGATCACTAACTCACTTACTGATAGCTGATGTGGTGGAAATTCTCCAGCTTGGTCCAAATCCCCCGGTGCGAGCCACCAGTTTTAACCATAAATAAATTAGGTGATTATTTGGCTTCTGCTGACAGAAAAGGACAAATGAGTTCACTCGGAGTTTGATTTGTCGTCCTATCGATTCATCCATCTTCATTTTTTCACATTTAGCCGGGCCCTCTTCTTTTCTCAGGCTTTTCTTTGTTAGTGATCGTCCTACGGTTAATATTCTTTTTTTAGTTTTAACATCTCAGCTTGGTGTGGAAAATTTAATTTTTAAATGCAAACGATCGAATGAAATGATTAAAAATGCATTTGTGGGCATTAGCTTTTCAGCCCATTGAGTATCTGTTACTATGTAACTGAGCAGTAACAGTACACAAGTTACATACAAATTATATTAAGTACGTCTGCATTATTTGTGAAGACAAAAACAAACAAAAATGATCAAATACAAAAACACACAGTATCTAACAGACAATATAGTATATTATAGAAAATATGGATTACCTTTCGTATGATATGATACAACACAATATACACAGAATAAAAATGTAATCGCAACACTGTTGCTTTTGCTCCCATTTTTCATGAGCTGAACTCAAAGATCTAAAACTTTTCCGATGTACTGATTGTTGCAGCAGTTGTCTCAGACGTATCTGGTCTCCCAACGATCTTGGAGGTGAAGATGCTGGATGTGGAGGTCCCGGGCTGTTGTGGCTACACGTGGTCCGCAGTTGTGAGGCTGGTTGGATGCACTGCCAAGTTCTCTGAAATGCCTTTGTAAACAGCTTCTGGTGAAGAAATGAACCTTCAGTTCACAGCAGCAGCTCTGGTAGACATTCCTGCAGTCAGCATGCTCCATCAATGCTTACAACATCCGTGGCATCATGTTGTGATAAAACTGCACATTTTAGAGTGGCCTTTTATTGTGGTCATCCTAAGGCACACCTGTGCAATAATCATGCTGTCTAATCTGCATCTTGATATGGCACACCTGTGAGGTGGACGGATTACCTCGACAAAGGAGAAGTGCTCACTAACAGAGTTACACACATCTGTGAACAATACATGAGAGAAAAAGTTACATTGTGTACATAGAAAAAGGCTTAGACCTTTGAGTTCAGCTCATGAAAAATGAGAGCAAAAACAAAAGTGTTGTGTTTATATTTTTGTTCAGTATATAATATAGTACCTAATATTGGACACAGTAGACAATGCTGTATAAATTATAATAGAGTACCTAACAAACAATGCATGTGAAACACAACACGGTACAATACTGGACACATGGTACGATCTACAATAAGCTGATATGATAACTAACATACAGTATAATATACAATATGGTATATGATAGGATTTAGTAACTATCATACGGTATAATATACAGTATACTACCTAGTATACAAAACACTGCAATATGTATATAAATGTGCCTAGCAAACGATTTACAATGTGATAAACTGCATGATACTGTGTGATTTGATGGAATATCTAACATACGATGCTATATACATATAGTATAGTATATCTATCTTTATCTATCTATATCATATATATATATATATATATAACATACAAGTACAATGCTGTTTTATATATATATATATATATATATACAGTATATCATATGGTATCTAACAGCATTGTATGTTAGGTATTATATGTATAGATATATATAGTATCTAACATACAATGCTATGTGCATTACAGTATCTAATACAATATAGTATCTGACATGCAGTGCAATAATGTACACTTTATGATGTGCATACAGTAATTATTTTTATTTTACTTAGTGTTTTTTTTTTAAACTTTTTTCTGTACAGGCTATTTTTCATTTTGATATTTTTTAAATATGTCATCTGCACTGTTCCTTTGATTTTATACGACACATTAGATACATTAGTGTACAACAAGCTATACCACACACTAAAATATACATTATTATTTATTTTCATATTACTTCTTTGCTTTTTGCTTGTTCAAACTATTTTCTTTAAACTTGACCTTTTCCTAATATGTCCTCAGCTCCAGTTCTTTGGTATGTGATAGAATACCATAGAACAGAGTACAATATGCATATTTTATTCTTCTGCTTGTTATTGTCCTACTTCTTATTTTTGTACTGTAGTTTCTGAAAACGTTGGCTGTCTAAATTAAAGTCTCCTGCCCCGTTTCTTTGCAGTTTGCTGCTGTGACAGTCATTTTCCTCCCAAGATTAATAAAGTACCTATGTTGCTCTCTATTGTCCTCATGGGGAAATTTATTTTGAACTTGTTGGTGTCCCAATTCCTGCTTTCACAAAAGATGTAAAAATAAAATCAACCAAGAGGTATATTCAAAAAGACTTTTTTTTATTTTTATGTTATAGAACAGACCATTAGGTGTTCCTAAAAGCTTAAAAAAAATGAACAATGTTAATTTTGACCTGAATACAGATATTTTACACTAAGATTAGCTTAAATAAATTACCTAACATTATAAACAGGTGCTTTTGTGCACTTGTACGTAAAAGGCATGTATTAAAGTGTCAGTAGGTTCCTATAAATAGTAAATTAGAAAAGAGCCTGTTGTGTGGATCGCTGTATGACGAGGCGATGAGTGGGATGCCTCGGCCTCTGTTGGACTCAACAGGCAGCTGATGAGCAGCTCTCTCTGGGGCCACTGTTAGACTTCATTACATTATGGCTGTTAATTATAAATCTCCATCCAACTGGATGGCCTGAATGTGCCATAATGGGTCCTACATGGAAATAACAGTCCATTGTCAGGCTGTGCAGAACAGTCTGTCTACTTACCAGCTCCTAATGAAGCTGCTTCAAAGCTCTGCTTCACTCAGGAAGAAGACACTGATAATACGAGCGTTGCATTAAGGGGATGGTCTTTATTGCCCTAGAATCCACCTGAGAATGAAACAGCACAGCTCATCCAAAGCTTTAAACACCTCCGCTGCCATAAGACACGATGCACAGAGATCTTACACGACGGATGTTTAACCCTCATGTTGCTGCTTCGACTTGTCACAAAAGAAAAAAAGTGCCACAAGGAGCAAAACTTGGACGCTTTTATTACCTCCCGTTGTTCCCTTCATTCAGCACGTGTGGACTACATGTCTGACAGTTTAACACAGCGCCATCACCAGGTTCCCCCCAAACTTTATGGCTAAAAAAGAAAATAGTGCACAAATTTCATCCTACACAAGGACCTCTACGTTAGAAAACACATCCTTCGTAATCCACGATATACAGTATGGCAGCCTTATTACATAGTTGTATTAGTATTCTACACAGCTCTATAATTATATGATCCATAAGCAAAAAGACTCCACTTCTGTTGTCTTTGATGCTGTGATACAGAGGACAGTATCAGAGTTGGAGCAGAGAAGCTGGTAAAATATTACATTTTAACATCAATTAAAAATCTTGTTAAAAAAAAAAACATCCACTGAATTTAGACAAACTAACAGAACAGAGAAACTTCAATATTATTTGCTTCATACAGTTGCATCATTACATTTCTTTCCCTGAAATAGTGTGTTAAAAGCAGGAGGCCTGTCTTTTTCCTATCAGACGTGTGAGAGCACAAACACAAACAAAGCAGGGACGTTGTGAACGTCCCATAAGCCACATTAAATTATTCTACACAGTTGCTGGTATATTCTGGTATACGAGGCTACTCTTTGGCAAAACTAACTGTTTACATCTTAGGACACATTTAGCTTTACTGTACAAAACAAAAAGATATGCAACACCTAGTTATAAAGTCTCTAGTCGCACTAGAATGCAGATTTTACAGGCTTCAAGATGAACAACATAATCCACGTGGATCTTCAAGTATCAGGTGCTTTTTTTTGACAAATAAATTACGTTTGGCATGTGAATATCTGTAGAAGGCGATTCTTCTGCTCTTAAGCTGTCTTTTTGTCACAACGTTAGCCTGTTCAGGCCTTTCACCGAGGGCTGGGTCCAGCCGATATGTTCCCAGTAACTGCAAATTCAAGACTTTATTGTCAAATGCAAGCTAAAAAAAAAGGACACACCCACCATTACCCATAAGCCCATAGCCTCCTCCCAACTTGACCAGTTGCAGCTCTCTGTGTTTTGATCAAGCTTTGGCCTCTAGCAGTTCCAGGAACAGTTTGTGCATCGGTACACGGCCGTCTTGTTTGATGCTGCAGAAGTGCTGAACGGCTCGAGCGGCCGTTTGACGGAGGAGAGGGAGGGTCATGATCAGTTTGCCCCCACGCCGGGAATCCTCTGGGTGGAGGGCAGCCTCATAGTCCTGCAGGGCCCCGTGAAGGACATCCTGGAGTCTCTGAACTGCCTCAGAGTCCTCAATTTGCATGGAGTCTAAAGGAGGGGGAGATTAAACGTAAAATTAACGTTTGATGTTCAAACATGCAGAGTTTCATTCTGTTACAAGCTCCGTACCCGAGTTAGCAAGAGCGATAGCTTTGAGGACCACAAACTCCTCCTTCTCCAGGCCCATGCTTTTGTACTTCTTCACCAGCTGCAGGATTGCATTGTTGAGGTCAAGGAGCCCCGCCAGCTTGGACTGCTCCTCGTCCATGATGTAGTCCTCGGCATACACCAGCTTGTCCTCCAGGGTCAGCGAGCGAAACACCACTCGGAGGATCAAAATCTCCATCCAGCCGCTCTGCAGGAGACTCATCTGGTCTGCTAAGGAGAGCAAAGGGAAGCCTGAGGAGAAGAGATGATGGGGGAAAGAAGGGATAGAGGAGTCATTTGTGATTTTTAGGTTCCATCTTTTTAATGCACAGACTGACTGTCCACAATCACAAACATGCTTCAGATCCTGTTCTTCCAGGGCCGACAGAAGTTCAGCTGTTAGTTAGGTTTCAGGGTGGTTGTATCCATTTTTATTAACATCTCAGGATGTGACTGTAGCTGAATGGTTTTACTTATGAAGCGGTCACAGCAAAGGGCAGAGCCAAGGACACGAGAAGGGAATTGATGGGAAATTTAATTACCGTACTCTTTGTCAGACACACCTACTTTGACTGACAATTATGCTCCACAGGAGTATGATTAAACCTGCTAACTGCCCCTGCATTATCCTGCGTGCACGCACGCACACACACACACACACACACACGGACACACACACACACTGTAATTAAACGCATGATTTTACAGAGCAGAGAAAGGAGGGGCAGGTGTTTGTATTTTTGACACCATCACTGATTGTTATCAGGATCCACTGGTTTTAACAATCACCGTGGTGACACCAGTGGCACTCGTTCCCCCCACCACTACTCCCCCGCCCCCAACCCCCCCGATTGATTGGAAGCGCTGTCAGTGCACGGTTTCACAGGTCGATAGGGATCAGTGTTCTGGCGCAGGGTCATCGATCAGGAACAGAAACCTGTGGGAGTCTGAGCTGGATTAAATCTACAGCAATTTATTGATAGATTTTATGGACAAATACACGATAAAGCTTCAATAAAGATGTTTGTAAATGAATGAAGGGAAGACTAATGAGGGCAACAAGGTGGAGAATTTGTTTTTAAGACCTTTCCGTTAGATGTTGAAGCATAATTTTAAGTATTGCATTACAAAAGTGGCCTGAAAGAACAATTTCAATATAAAAATCAGATCAATATTTCCATCTCGTAGCTTTCAAGCAGCAGACACTAATACTGTGAAAGTTCCTTTATTTATTTATTAACATTTACTAACTTATTACAGGCATGTGTAACCCACAACTTATTAATCTTGTTAGACAACCTGCTTACTTTGCTCCAAAACACATTGTATAACACCATTTTCCTGTGGCCTGACGGTTCTGTGGCCTCAGATCAGCTCGCATCAACATGACGGCCGACAACAGTCGCCTTCAACACGTTCAGCAGCCAGCGAGCATCACGGACACAAAAAGGCCAAAACCACAGAGGGCAGTTGGTCTTTAGCCAGCTCATCTGCCAGTTTGGCCCTCAGACTTCAGAGCACGTCACTGTCGATGTGCGTGATGAGAGCAGACAGAGGAGCGGGCGCAGCCAGGACAGGAGTCTCCATCACACTCACCCGCCCCCGGGCTCAGAACTCAGATGGCCTGGGACGTTTGGTCCAGGACCCGGGGTCTCCCAGCAGGGAGGGCTGCTGTGTGTCCTGCCACTCATCCAGAGCTGATGTGACATGGCTATTATGCTGCCAGGAAGAAACAGCCAGACTGTTTTAATCCCTCTTTCTCTGTACAGCTCTTCAAGCTACATTTGATTTATTTCCTGTCACAGTTTAAACTCTTCTTTGGTTTCTAAATTCTTCAGCCTCACATAAATAATGTAATTGTTTAGTTTTGTCTTCATTAATTCTGTGTTGTTATGCTTGATATCTTCTTTTTCTTTCATCTACATTTTTATAACCCCGTGTTGATTTCTTTCTGTTAAACTGGAACAGGAAATCAGAAATGTCAAAATGCGTCAGGCTTGAGAAGAAATTACATTTTCAGGTTAAATAACCAGAGTGGAGAGATTGACACTTTCTTCAGGATGTTGTTTTGATATTTTTTATGTCCTAGATTCTTTGTACAGTAGTCCCTCACTACTTGGCGTTTTTTTATCGCGGATTCGCTCTATCGCGATTTTTCAAAATAAGATTGGACATGACACACAATTAATTGGTTGATTGATGGATGAGCTGCATGATTGGCATGAAATTTTTGTTTAAAATAAATTATTTAAAATTATTTAGCACCTGCTGCACATTTGTGCAGCCCAGAGCAGCAGAAAAAGCTTCCTCCTGCACGGTTGTGCAGTCCACACTGCTGCAGGATAAACTTCCTGCTGCGGTTAAACAGCTGATCAGCTGTTCACCATGCAGAGCACAGAAGTGGGCGTGGCCAGGAGCACTCGCAGGTGACAAAGAGCAGGGGAGGCAGGGAGCAGAAATCATGACATTCTGTGGTTTTTTAGAGCATTTAGAGTTTAGAAACATTATTTAGAATATTGCAAGAGTGTGGGAAGTTTAAAACACCTTAATATATATGTATATAAATAATACAACAAACTACTACTTAATACTTGTACTACTATCCCTACTTTGTGGTTTTTCACTTATCATGGGTCTTCAGGGTATGGATCCCCCCTGCGATAAACAAGGGACTACTGTAATGCACTACTTTGTAAAGAAAAAATAAAATATTAAAATCTGAAGAAATCCAATACTGGCTTTTGTAATCTTTTCACTAGTTAGAAAAACAAAGACAAAATGTAAATCATAAATATAACTCAATATTATATATCTAACTGCATCAGTTTCTTTTGGGAACTTGAAAGCTTTCATCATGGACACTTGTGTTCGAGTCACTTACCAAACTGTTTTTGTTGTTGTTTACATTAATATTGTGACTCTCGTGTAAATCTATTATTTTATACCAGTTGCCGTTCCTGACACAACCTGAGCTCAAATGCACAGCGTTTACAAGACCACATCTGCCCCCTCAACGTGTCAATAAAATAAATTAAGATGAATTTTTATCAGTATATAGAAAGAATAAAAGTCATAACAAACAAAAGATGAATTGTAGGTGAGACTGGACTCTTGAGCCTAAATGTGTTTGTACTAATGTTTGAAGAATTACAAGTTATCAAGGTGATCGGGTTAAACTGATGACATTTAATTTTTCTAACTAATTAACAGCAGCAACACTGTAATTAATTCATTTTCATGAAGGAATATGTTTGATTAAATCTTTGAATCGTTTCCAGCACACACATTTGTAATAAAGGATACAGCTACAGTTAGCTTAGAAAATGATTTCTATTAATTGCCTAATTGTAATTTTTACACTGGACTGAATTAAACAAAATATAAAGAGTAAAGATGCAGAGTTAATGATTAATGTTTTTGTTCTCTAAAGTAGGCTAGGTCAACTGGTTTCCTCTTGTTTTGTGCTTAAAGCTGAGCGAGGCGAACTGATGTGGTCAAACTGGTTTGAGTCTACTCATCCAAGTCTGGGAAATGACGCGATTTAACACGTTTCCAGGAACATTCACTGACTGGATGTTCCAGCAGAGGATTTCTGCATCCTTGTGAAAGGCGTCTGAATGATTCATTTAGAAAATGGAATAAAACATTTATTCCTTAAAGTATGTGAGTCTGTGAGGATTACCTGAGGATTAAATGTATTTTACTTTAAATTGAACCTGCTTGCTGCTCTTCAAGTTTTCCTTTTTTACCCCCACAGGATGTAAGTGTTTCCAGTCAAAGATGAGTTTTGTTTACCAAAACATGCCTGATTCATTTTGTTTCTTTTATTTTTGGAGACGTTTCAGAATCTTGAGTCAAACACGTTTGACGTCTGAATGAAACGCTGCTCCCTGTCCCTCGTTTTCCTCCCCTCTCTTTACCCTTCAGTTGGTATCAGCAGTGACACCCTCCACTGGCAAAGGGTGACAAATATACACCCATCACTTGGACTCCATCTGTCTCGAGCAGGGACAGTAAAAAGCCAAAAACCAGGGAGGAGAGTCAGACAGCAGGAGCCTGGAGGGCGTGAAGGATGAAAGAGGAGGAAGATTTCCTAAACAAAGCTGTGGAAATGCTGATGGACAAACTTGCACTAAATGACTGTCTCATATCAGTGGTGAAGACATTTTGGGACAAATACAGTAGAGATAAAAGCACAGACACACCTGTTTTGTTTGTTTTGTAAGCATTTCAGGGACAAGGCATCAACAAAAAGAACCAGGTGTTTCCCTGGTGATGTTTTGGGTGTGGATACAACTGCTGATAAAGCAAAGAAAACGAGATGATAAGGAGGCTGAAAAGAATCGCTTATTCAAGAAGCTTTAATGTGCAAATGGAAACGTTCAAACTGCAGCGAAACATCCAAAACCTCGTCAGAGCTGTTCTATTTGACGAGGCTCAACTGTTAAGATTCTTATCATTTTAATCATTTTCATTCAGTCTTTGTATTTGTTAAGACTTGCTCATAAACTGGCTTCAGAATACGTTTCACGTCTGTGATGACCGACCCACCAGCTTGAAGAAGTTCTTAATTAATAGATAGAAATCATAATTAATTTAGGAGTTTATTTATCAATTGATTTTCAGATTCAAACTAACTATATTTCTGTCACTCACATCAGACTGATCAAAGATACGTTTACAACGTCCTATTGTGTGACATCGTCAAGTTATGTGATTAACAACATTAAAAAATAAATATTTAGTTTGTTACTCTGGTGCTGATTGTCAGTCCAATGTGAAGTTACTGTTAACTAGTTATAATTTGTATAGTTAATAGAATATACTAAAGTTGTAAATAACGCCTTGTTAGGAAAAGTGTTATGATTGACCCATTATTAAGAACGTTTAGAGAATTTAAGATTTCCGTCACTAAAACAATCTCGTGAATAAAATGTTTATTTTTGAGTCAAGCAAAAATCTTGAAAAGCCAAATATTCACAATGCAAAACTTCAGTGTGTATGAAAGCGACGCCATCATAACCACACCAGCATTGTTCCTGCTAATCTGTCATCCCCTTTTACCAAAGAAGAAGGGGAAATGGCCTGGATTCAACCACAGATTGTCTTTTGTGGGTGTGATATTGGATTTTGTGCATCTTTCCTTCTCAAAGTGATATTTGTGTCTCAAACTTTGCTGATCTGCAGGGGCAGAGGGTGCAGGACACACCTCATGGTTCAGCAGGACCCAATTCTTTAATTCATAACGTGAAAGTCAAAGGATTCTGTGAAATATGACGGATGTGTCACTTATTGGTTTAAAAATGGCATCCTGAACGTGATTCTTCTCTGATAAAGTGAGATCTTTATACCGTTTTAAAGCGTGACTTTGTTCTTCATCTTTAAAACTTGAAACAGGGACGGAACAAATAGCGGCAGCAAATGAGCTAAAGGTGGAACAGTAAAGATACTGAACATCTGAACGTTCCTCCTGCTCCTCTTGCGACAGAAGATGAGCTGAGCATGTTCCAAGAATCAGGAGGATTTCAGTAAATCAGACTGAACAGGGAGACGGCTGAGGCCCAGGAAGCAAATTAAAACTCCCATGTGGTCACTCGTCATCTGATTGGTGTGGGAACACACTTTAGTCAGTGAGGGCATGGCACACAATTTACAGCACACACACACACACACACACACACACACACACACACACACACACACACACACACACACACACACACACACACACACACACACACACATGCACGCACGCAAAGAATGACTGACAGATAACACGCAGCCAAGCCAACATTCCCTCCCTTCTTTTGGCATCCACAAGTCAGAGCAATCCGTTCTGTGATCTGATTATGGACTTAGTGGATCTAATGTGTGTGTGGCGACTTGTGCGAGAACATATGAGTGAGTGAGACAGGGATTTAGCCTGAGTCGTACCAGGGATGTGTTTGGCCCAGCCGATGTTGACCACCAGCTCTCTGTCAGCGAGGTCACACAGTGTGGTCAGGGCCTTGATGTCGCTCTCGGGTACCATGGGGTCTGGCATGGCGAAGATGCTTTCTGGCTCGGCAACCAGCAGCAGAGATACCACCTTGTTCTCCGCTGCACCACCTACAGAAACTACAAAAAGTTTATTCTTATTATAGATGACCATTTTATTCTATGTTTTTTAAGATAAAAAATAGCATCTGGAAAGAGAAAACATGCAGAAACAAAATGAAACAAAATCTAAGGAAACAGAAAAAAGTTAATTACTAATGACATCACAACAAAAAGTCTCTTTTAGGCAGTTTTACAAAATGTAAAAAATAAATACTTAAGGTACATAAAAAGACATTGACCCAAATTCACAAAGTCCTCAAACGTCATTTCCACCGCAAAATTTTAAACAACTTTAATCAATAAAGGGTCTATAATGCAAACTTTTGTGTTTGACTATCTGCACCAGTCATCCAAAGATCATAGGAGGATGGACTAGAACAATCCACATTAATGCAGAGACAGGTCAGATTTGTCTTCAGCTGCATGAGGGTCCTAAACATTACAGACAACTGGTGTTAAAGTTCTAGCAGATTTCATGTGCATGAGGTGGAACAAAATTGTGTACCCATGGTCCCAGTTACATCAAACAATAGCAAAAATATAAAGTGTAAAAAGAAAGAGTAAATAATGATCTGAGATATAAACTAAGATATATGCTACACGAACGCCAAACAGCGCTAAAAGATCTAAGATATACCAGTCACTAATAGTGCAAAACAATACACCGAACAGCAGCAGCACGATTCTCATAGGTTCGGTTTGGCTATAATTTACACGCTAAATGCGAGCACTAACATAAACTAAACTAACACACACTTGGATTTATTCAAAGCATGCAACAAAAATACAGAAACAAGGCGCCAAAAGTGAAAAAGAAATAAATCTACAGCAGCAAGGTCCTATTGGCAGAGTGGTTCTGTTGACAATGAGGTTATCTAAAACATGGTCCAGTTAGCAGCATGATACTGTTAGCGGTGAGGTTCGGTTAGCAATGAGGTTTCTCTTAGCAACATGGTCCCGCTGGCACCACGCTACTGTTAGCGGCGTGGTGTTGTTAGCACTGCAGCGTTAGCAGGTCCCTTCAGCAGCTTAATGATAATAAGGACCGCAGCAGCTGCCCTCCTAGACTGCCCTCCAGGCCCGGGTCTAGCAGATGGAGAACATCTAGGTTTCCCTGCGGAACCAAACAGGTCCATAGAGTTCGGTCCATGCAGGCAGATGGAGGATCATGAAGGCAGCCACCATGACAGGCCCGAGCCCAAGGCTGGAAGGACTTAACCACGATGTCAGGATGGCAAGGCAGCGACACAGAAAACTCCACAAGTGTCGCGGTCATACCCGTACTGTGGATGTGCATTGTAGGCGCAAAAAAAAAAAGTTAAAACAAAAACAACAGTAACAAAATAAGATCTAGTTCACCAGGAGCCTGTGAAGCTGCGACTCAGCTGAGCGTGGCCATCTTGGAATAATAATATATATTATTAATATTATATAGAGGGCCTTGCGAAAGTATTCAGCCCCTTTGAACTTTTCAACCTTTTGCCACATTTCAGGATTCAAACATAACGATATAAAATTTTAATTTTTTGTGAAGAATCAACAAGTGGGACACAATCATGAAGTGGAATGAAATTTATTTGATGTGTCAAACTTTTTTAACAAATAAAAAACTGAAAAGTGGAAGTGTTTGAAGCCTGAAATGTGGCAAAAGGTTGAAAAGTTCAAGGGGGTGAATACTTTCGCAAGGCACTGTATATTGTATATTATTAATATATAATATTACTCCATCTTGGGAGTAATATTGCCCCTGAAATGCAGTATTTTTTATTATCCGTTTGCTTTGTGGTTTTATTGTACAGTATAATATGTACAATATAAATAAGTCTATTCATAGAAGGATGTCTTTACAACTCTTCGTATACTCACATGTTTTTTTCTGAGGCTGGTTGCTTTGTGTTTGCAGATACGGGCTGTTCTCTGCATCTATTCTCCTCTTATACTTCTGTCTGCCGCCTCGGACCCGGTCCAGACGCACACCTACATAAACACAATCACAGGACATTACTGATGATTGTGTGTCACTCCACAAATATACAGACATGGGTGCCCTGATATCATCATGCTGTATGTACAGTAAATAAACTGCATGGGGAAATATCCACTAGTTTTAACTGACATTTTGACTCACTAATTAAAAAAACAAAAACAATTTGATTAACATATGTAAAAAATAACTTTTTGTTAAGTTATAGTTATAGCGCAAATGAAAGTTCGTATAATTAAAAATTAAAATTAAGTAACAATTCAGTGGATTTTCGGTATTTTAAACATTATGTAGGTAGATGAGTATTCTTGGCAGCCATTAGCAGAGAGAATTATTATTTATTTAATGCTAACTAAACTAAACAATTTCAACTCTGTTTAGCTGTTCGTCCGATCTGAACCCATTGGTATAGATTTTCCAAATAAGTTAGTCACTTGGACGAGGCTCCATTGTGTTGAACCCGGTAAACCAATGAGTCGTTGTCCAGTCAACAGCCCACATGGATCATCGACTTCAAGGAGACCGGACGGGACCGGTGTGACGCTACGGCAGTACACATCCTGTAACATGACCCCTTACAACGTTAAAGCAGTTAGAGGCAACCGCTCATCCTAACCAGCACCCCTCGTCACCATGACGATGGAGACTTCACAGTGTGTAAGTATGTGTGTGTGTAAACTGGACGGTTAAATGAAAATGTGAATGGAGGAGAAATACACTAAATATTAGCTACCAACTGCAAAAACGACTTCATCCAGGAGGGAGAACGTGACTCAGGAAGCCCTCAGTTGTGGTGTTGGGTTACTTGGTCTGCTCAGTGTAAATAGCCATACAGTCCCTGAATAGATCTATAATGGCATCTGTAAAAGACACACTGAGGGTATTATTTCCCCTCTTGACACTTCACAGCCTGCGGTTCTTATTCCGACTTGTGTAGATATTTATGGACAGCATCAATATAAAGAACAATAAACTGTACACTGTTCTCTAAATCATGGGTTACTTGGTCTGCTCAGCGTAAATAGCCATAAAGTCCATTTTGAATAGTTTTATTAGTTCCATCCCATTGATTTGTAAAGCTATTGCGTCTTATTTTATATGTGTGCTATGACTAGAACATAATATTTCATATGATAATAGTGTGTGCTTTATATAATATTCCATGACCAGAGAGGTTAAATGGAAGAGATAATTTTGTGTAACAGAGTGATGAGCTCTAAATGTGGTCTACAACCTTCAAGACAGCAGGTCCCATAAAATGTGCACATACTGGCCAGACGTCAGCCACCATCCCTGTATGTTGCCCAGCTCGTGTTTACTATCTGCTGCGAGCTTCATTAAAAGCTGCTGCCTCCTTTGTCTCCTACTTAAATCTCTTTCCATGATTAAAACTTAATCCTCTTTTTTTTTTTTTGCTATAGCTGCTAGAAAATAAAATTTTTTGGCAAAAACTAACAAAATGAGTTGCTGAACCATTTGAATCTATTAACTTTGCACTATCTTATCTTAATGTGCGACAGGAAGTCATAAAATGGATATGAACAGCCTGTAAGTCCACTATGCAAAAACCAACTCATCATTTTTTTAAAATCTTTTAAAATGTATAGATGAGTGTGAAACCTTTGCATAAAATTAAAGTTCTGTTTGAGCTCTTGATGAATGTTGATTAGGTCCTCAGAGGCCAGGTAGATGTTTCAGTTGTATGCAGTGACTTGTAGTATGGTGTACTGAATTTTAAAATAAAAAAAATCTGAATTTGGAAAATTAAAGATTTTTAGTGAACCAGAGAAAAAGGAGGAATTCTGTCTAAAGAGTTACAGAAACAAAACTCCAGTCAAGTCTTTGTGTAATTATTCTAAAGGACAAAGGCAGTAGAAACTTTTTGAAAGTGGTAACTCAACACACCAATTCTGAGTGAAGGTGCTGAACTTAAATGAGCATAATGTACATGAACTCTGTTTTAAACAGAAACAGACATTTATTGACTGTGACATCTCATGTGGAGGCTCTGAAATTAACAGCAACATGTTGACATAGAGCTATAATTGATCAGTTATGTCTGTAAGAGTTTGGGGAGTTAGGACACATTTCTACCAGCTGGGCTGATTTCAGCTGGAAATATCAAATTGTGCAAAGCAGCTCAGAACGCAGAGGCGCAGAGGTTAGAGAGGTGGGCTTGTGATCCGAAGATCGCCGGTTCACGCCCCGGCCCCGACAACATCAAAAAAATTGTGGGTGGGGTAGGTGAAACATCCACACTTGCCCCCACCCTCATTCGCCCCACTCTGGGCCCATGAGCAAGGCCCTTAACCCCATCATGTGCTCCCTAAACAGGTCTCTCTTGAAAATGAGTTCTCGTGGCTCAGTGAGACTAACCTGGATAAATAAAGGCTAAATGAAAAAAAAAAAGAACCTTTTCATGTTGTCGAGATATTACAGGTCTCTTTTTTAAGAGGGAGTGGTAGTTACTGGACTGAGCCTCACCTTTGTAAGTAAGCTGCACCCTTTATAGCAGGGGTGCCCAAACGTTTTCCCTGAGAGGGCCACATTTAAAATCTATCAGAGGGCTGTGGGACAAATGCAATAATATACATAATAATATATATAATAACATGAAATGCAAATACTTCTTTAAGTAAAGTCCATGTATTTATTATACAGTTATTTAACCTTCAATTCTATATAAAGAACATTACAGTGTTGGTGTTGGTGAGGGCTGGGGGTCCTCCCCCAGAGAATTTTGAATAAAGTAGATGCCATTTCCTGTGTTCGGGTGCATTTTAAAAAGGTTTATTACAGTAGATTAACATGAAACAAATGATGTAAACTCTGTTATTACTGAAATCTCTGACTGTAAAGCCTTCGTAATGCAACACTGCTGCAGCTCTGCAGGTAAGGGGCATTCACTTCAGGACAAATTGAGGTCGCTGATTGATCCGTTCTTATGCCTACTGGATTGATCGACAGGTGGCGGAACTTGTGCAAAAAAAAAAAAAATCATAGATTTTATTGGCCCGTTTGAGACTGTTATCATTTATTCCATATTTATTCAATATTGTGGTGAATCTAAGGTTTGAGAACTGTTTCCTTACATAATGATGGTTTCTTTATTTTTCAGGAATGATGAATTTAAATTGAAAGATGCTAAAATCACCACTGAAACCACTTCATATTTATAATTTAATTTTAAACACTTTGTGTGATTTATGTGTGTTCTGTCAAAGGAAAATGTTATTCAGTGACAGGAAGCTGCCGAGGGATGGTAGAACGTCTATCAAAATTAAATATAAATTATTTTAAAAATACATAAATTATCTCCTCTACCGTGTAATCCGTGTAGTTAAATTATGGTAGTCAGGCCGACTAACAATAAAGTCAATGGGTGGAATCAATGAGTGTAAACACATTGATTATTCAAAGGAAATTTGAATATAGTAATGAGAACAGCTTGGCGGGCCAACTATAGCCCACGGGCCCCACTTTGGGCACCCCTGCTTTATAGCAGTTATTCTCAAATATGGGTCAGGGACCTGATATGGATCATGAAACGCTTACTGTGAGGTCTTGAGGTCATGAATCAAATTAATATAAAAACGGTCAATAGCATAAAGAAAAATAATTTGTTGTATATAGATAAAAGTAAGTGTTGAATGTAAGTAAATATGTTGAATGGATTATTAGTGATGTTTGTATACTTCATTTAGCAGAGGTCGGGGTCACAAGTCTCACTTTTATTTTGTGCGTCAAAAGATGAAACTTTTGGGAACCGCTTCTTTAGAGCAGTGAGAGTAAACATCCTATGGACAAATGAAAATATATTTGGTTCGTTTTAGCCAATAGGTGAGGGTTAAACACAAATTTTAATGTTAATATGTATAAATGACATTAATTCTGCATTCCAACCAACCCTCAAGTTTGCATTTTAACTAATATGAAAGAAAATGTAGTTTTGAATTGTAAGAAAATTATTATTTTTTTAAATCCCTGTATATGGACAAATGAGAGAAGATTTTAGGATTAATAAAAAAAAAAAAAAAAAAAGTTAAATTCTATATCTGGTTGTAACTCGCATCGATGTCAGGCGAGACAGGAGCAGACGGTCTTGGAAGTGTGTGGACAAAACCATTTCATGAAGATTTACAGACTCAGAACATTTGTCTGTTCTGTGACAGAAGACAGCATCAAAATTACCAGTAAGTGTAACGTTCCACAGTAAAATGTAATGACGACCAAGTGGCCAAAAATAACTTTGGTGGGCAACAAAAACAGACCTCCTCGCTGTTCTTCCTGGACACTTTGATTATTATTTCTTGCCTCTTGCTCTTTCATCACACAGCCATCCTTTGAGCTCATCTAGATTTTAACCAGAAATTTTACAAACAACAAAAACCAAACTCCACAGCAACTTTGCTCAAGTAGTTCAGCCAGTTCTGATGCAACGCTGCCCCACCTTCGTAACTGCTGCCACCATGTCTTCACCTTAAACAATCCCACGCTTCTCAGATACTGTGACAAATGTACGTACGACAGGCTCCACAAAAACCACAGCGACATTACATTCTCAGCATTCAGCCTCGTGGAAACTACTGAAAAGAATCTGACTGCATCTTGTCTATACAGTCCGTTAACGATGCTTATTTTGAGAAACGGCAACTTCAAAGCAAGACTAAAACAAGAAGGATGCTAGAAAATAGTATTGTGTACCACCAGTCTTATATAAAGAATTTCAACCAAATATAGACATGAAATTGGAATTTTACTTTATGCTTTAAGATGCAGTGTTGAAATGTTCATTTTGTACACATACATGTTTACTGGCCTTGAAAGTGACAGCAGCTACAACCACTAAATGAGGCTTAATCAAATCCTGCCTGGGGTCTATATGTCTTTTAGCTGTGTCTTTAATATGGCTCTGAGTCTCCCCATTAAACCTCACAGCTCCCTCTGTTCTAGTTTACTGCGGCCTCTCCGGGGGAAGAGGGGCATTACGAGACACGGTGAAGCGCGTTACGAGGGCGCTTACGACAGGAGTTACGAGGGGCAGTTCGCATTTCACGGAGGTCCAGGAATCCCACAAGGCATCTGGAGGAATTTATGAGGCAGGAGAGAAAGCGAAGGGGGTTGGAGGAGGACAGCAGATGAGAGACAAACTGGGATGCTGTTGATGCCTCCACACTTATAAAAAGCAGCTTTTTTAAAGGCAGAAAAAAATAATAACACAGACGTGTGAGCTTGAATGTGACTGACATTTTGAAAAACTTGTATACAAAAACGTGTAAATGTCATATAATTCATAACTTTCTATAAACACACAGCTGCAGGCAAAAATTTTTGTTGTGTATTTAGGGACGAGACGAGGGCATTCATGTTTACCACAACTGGGAGTTAAGGTGTAGTCAGTGTTTCACATGTTCTTACAAAGAACAGGTTTTAATCACTTCTGAGAACTTGACAAAATTTGAGACTTTACAAACATAACATTTGGAGATAAAACCTTAAATATGTTACTTAAAGACTGAAGATTTGACTACAAAATTACCAATCAGTTGGTCAAAAAGGTTGATAACAGCGACGGAGCTTTAGGGCCACGCTAAGAAAAAAAATTAAAAGCCATAAAATTACGAGAATAAAGTGGTAGCATTACGAGAATAAAGCTGAATAAAGTCTTAATATTATGAGAATAAAGTCATACAACTTTTTTTTTTTACAGATCTCGTTTATTTTTTTTTTCTATGAGTCGGATCCACGACGCGACCTGTCAATCGATCCAGTAGACGTCAGCAAATGACCAATCCGAAGCAAATGTTCCTCACCTGCAGAGAGCTGCGCTGCAGCCCATCAGAGCGTACCACCTTACTGTAAGCAGGTTCAAAGTCCTGATACTAATAATAATCTGATGCTGATGTGCTAACAGATTAACAATCTCCTTATTTGTAAAACCAAAGTATAACTTAACAAGATGCTCAACATTCTTCATTTTATCACAGTTAAAATGTGGTAAACCTGCTTTATCGTGTTGGAGTTCAGATAATATTACGACTCATTTAGCTTCAGATTGGTCATTTGCTGACACGCCTATTGGATTGATTGACAGGTCGTGTTGTGGATCCGACTCGTGGAAAAAATAAATAAATAAACAAGAGCTGTTTAAAAAAAAAAAAGAGTCTCGTACGACTTTATTCTTGTAATTTTATGCCTTTTTTTTTCCTTAGCATGGCCCTAAAGCTCAGTCGTAGATAACCAATAGTCTGACTCATAATTTAATCTAAATACTCAATTTAGCATGCACTTTAGGAAAAAAATAAAAACTACAAGTCTTTAACACTGACATTTTCTGGCAAAATTAATTAAAATCAATCAACCTCTAAGGTTTTGTTCCCAAATTTAATAAAAAGAATACAATATTTTCTTTTGAATAAAAATGTCACTTTGAACATTTATCAAAAGTTATTTATTGTCAATTTTAGCAATTAGTATTTTCTGCCAAGCTGTCATCATTGCAGCTAAATGCACCACTTTGACAAAGACAATTAATGAGTTATAGAATAAATTGTTCAGTTATTGTTTACATCTGTGAAATTTGCTTCCAAAATCTAGTGTTTATTTTCATCATACAAGCTACGCTAACAGGAGTAGGAAGTTCTTGTGATAGTTTTAAGGTTTTACTTTTTTATTTTTAATAGATTGAAGTCAGCTGAATAAAAACAAATATTTGTCTTTAAATGACCAATTGTCCTGTTCAAACGAAATGAAAGAAATCTGTAATAATGCGCTTAATTTATTCTCTACAAGCAATAAAAGCAAAATTATTATATTTGTAAATAAAAGCATAATGAAGGTACTTTATTTTATTAAATTTTTTAATCTGGCTCAAAGTTACGTTAAGGGTTTCATAAATGAAATTATGTATAATAAGGATAAAATGCTTTACATTAACACCCTCTGATGTTTAATCTGCTCTTCCTCTATTATCTCTCCTTGGCTGTTCACAGCAGGAAACAAGTGGTCAGTACAGTAGGAGGCTGCTAATGTTTTCCTTTTTGAGTCACTTCTAAATCTGGACAATATGTCACCATGCGGCCGGCACACAGCCAGACTTAAAGATAACACCTGACCACAGTCACTATCTATGGCATGACCACAATGTCATTTCAAATATTTGACATTAAGTGATGAAGTTTTTAAGATCCAAGAAGAAGCACATAAAGGTCTAAAAAAAATGGTGCTCTCAGAGTTGATTTTACATCACTTTAACTGGGGAGATTCTGTAAGCTGTGAAGTGATATTGGCCAAACTTGTCTCAAACCAGTGAGTAAGGTTGTGAAGACTACTTTTCCTGTAATAGCAATAACAACATTGCTTATTATCTCACTGCTGCTGTGTTGCTAGCATGCCTCCACAAACTGGCAGATGTCCAGAAACTATTTTGGAGGATCACTCGTGGGGCAAAGACCGACACAGCTGAACAGTTAGCAGATCTGTTGTGCATTGTTTGGTATTATTTACTACACGCAAGCACACACAATAAAATAAAGGATTTGAGTTTCACAGGACTTAATGCGACTAGAAAATAAGCAGTCATAGATTGATTGGGTGAGATTAAGAAAGTAACTGGTTATCGGGGTATCGTTTCCATGACAACCTGCAGACAAGCTTGGGTTAAGCTTTAATCTTCATATCAGTGAAGTAATAAAACTGTCAGGTTTAACACCTGATTAATCTGAGAAAAGGCAACTCAAACCAAGTTACCAAAGATAAATATTTTAAACAAATATCTAACCTTCTCTTAGCATGCCCACTGCGAGACATTTCACAAATCGACAGGCCTGGCAGGATTTTCTTCTCCTCTTGGTGATTTCACATTCATTGGATGCTGGACAGCTGTATTCAATGTTGCCTGGAGAAGGAAATAAAGAAAGAGGTTAAGAAACAAAAAAAATCTTCATGACTGTTTGGGAGACAAATTAAAATTTTGAGATGAAAATACAGTTTTGCAAATCAACATTCCAGCATAATATCAGACATTTGTTTTATAGCAGGGAAATTAAAACAATTTTTGAAGCTCTGAATTTTTTAAATTTTTTAGAATATTATACTAAACAATACTGACTTTAGGCTCTCCTTAATCTATATACTATTTCAATCAATGAAATCACATTTAGTCAATTGTTTGCCTTTCTAAAATCTAGTTCTAAACTTTATTTTTGGCCCCAATTTTTGGACTTAACTTGAAGTTGACATTTATTAGGAGCACTTAAAAATATTTGATATTTTATTTTGACAAGAACTTAATAATTAGCTTTATGGAAATTGATTCAACTAGCCAAAAGTTAAGCCTGATGGCGTTGAGCCAGGTAACGGTGCACCATGCTGCCACCTCCAATCAGAAACAGGAAGTATCTGATGAGCCAGACATCTGATCTTCTTGTCCCACCTGAAAGCTGCTCAAGGCCGCCCTTTGAACTCATTTACAGCGGCCAACATTTCGAGCCTTTAACAAGACGGAACCCACTAGTTGTTGACCTGGGCTGAGAGCCGACACAGAGCAAGACAATCCCTTTAAAACATGCACATCGTGTTCTGCTGGCTCACAGCTCTGAGGGCAAAAGTCAAAGCATTAACATTTAGCATCTTGCAGCACAGCTATCTACCGTCTCGAAACCAAAACTCCAACATGTTGACTGTATATACAATGCACTGTAAGTTTAACCACACATCAGCTGTTTGCAAACAGATCTTTATTTAAAGCCTTTCTGCAGTTTGTAGGGCTGAAGGCGGAAGCTATGAATTAACTGATCAGGGCTTGTTTATATCAAAACAAAAGCTTGGGGTACAACTCCATCTGCACCGAGCCGCTTGTAAAACTGGTTTATATGATGCAAGAAGGCACTACCATTCATGCACACTAAACTATAAAACAGAGCATCTTCCTGAGCTGGAACATGTGGGGTTTTTTTTGTCTCTCTTACCCTGGATGGTCCTCTTAAAGAAGGCTTTGCAAGCTTCACAAGAGGCCACACCATAGTGGTAGCCTGAGGCCACGTCACCACACACCAAACACAGCCGCTTTGCTACCGAACCCAGCATGAATTCACACTTCACTTGGCCTTCATCCTCCCCAAACCTCCTGGACAGAAGGGATGAGGTGAGGAGGAACGTGTTTAGACAGGATTTACATTGTAAAGAAATATGATAAAACAGACAAAAGGGAGGGAAATGCAGTTTATTAACACACCTGTTTGTTCCTTCATTATTGGCCAAGCCTGCTGTGTGACCATAAAGGCCTGGCGAATCCAGTCCAGTGTTGGGATTGAGACCTTTGGTGAGGGGACCATAGCTGGAGTTTGTGTCTGATGAAGAGCTTCCTGGACTGGGATGTGCCGGGCTGACGTCACCCTGAGAGCTGGGGCTGGAAGGTTCCCGCTTTATAGAAGAGGGACAGGTGGGGTCCAGGCCCCTCACTGACATCCTGCCTGGACGCCTGGAGGACACAAGAAAGATATTTAGTATATTAATTTATTTAGTCGTTTAGATTTAAGTATTAATATCATAATATATAACCGCCCCTAAACTCTGCCTTCGATTATTTTATTCTGGTAAGACAACAGAGGTGGTCATGTTATAGGCAGCTTAAAAAAATACACCTCATTAGTTTAGGTTTCTTATAAATATTGTCAAGGTCCAAGCAGAAGAAAATAAAGACCGACATTTGGCTAAATAAATATCCCCTTTAATTTCCACAATCTTAAGTGCTTCAGCTGCCTCCATCTCTGTGTCCACATCCTTCCACTCGTCCATCAAACCACCCGTCCCAGTCTCAGAACCAGCCGTTTGGGATCTACCACATATGCAAAGTTGCTGTCTTTTACTCTACTTGGTTTTCAAAGGAGGTGATTGCTTAAGCAAACTTAGGGAAATAGTCAAACCAGTGACAATGGTCATAGGTTTATCTTGTTTTTGTTGCTGTTTTTGTGCGTGGATGTGTTTTTCTTTGCTTTTTGCATTTTTCTCTTTCAGTTACTTTGTGCTCTTGAACTGTTAATGGCTGCACAATTTACAACAGTGAAAGGCTTGCTATTGCAACAGTTAACTGTTTTCACTTTTTACTTTGACTACTGTTGGACTTTTTACAATAAATAGTAATCTACAACAAAAATAAAGTGATGCTTTAGTCAGACTTAGTCAAATGTGCTTTTAAAAACATACTTCGCTTGTTATTATAAATATAAATAAAAGTGAAAAAACAATGTTTCAACAATATTAAAAAGGTTTATATCATATTCGATGAAACGTGAGCATTAAATGTGTCATGGCTCTAATGATAGATAAAGAAGTGACCACAGCAGACTTTCTGTCACCACTGAGAAGAGAAAAAATATCTGAAACCAGCCGAAGTGTATTGGGTCACATGGCCTGTCGCCATGCGATCTGTGCTTACAATGCATACAGGCTCCGATCACAGCATCTGACTTTTGCCCATGGATGTAAAAATAAGAAGCTTGGAACCTCTACTACTTCTTCAAATACAGATTCCTGTGCTCCAGCTCCCTGCACAAACACATTCAGACACATTTAAAAGTGTGCGTCTTCATAAACACCGTGACACATGCTTGGGCACAACCTTGTCGCCAGACAAAAATTAAAAGACACATTGTAGTTTTCCTCCTGTCACACATTGGGCGGCTGTGGCTGAGTGGTTAGAGCAGTCGTCCTCCAATGCAAGAGTTGGGGGTTCAAACTCCACAGCAGTCACATGCCGAAGTGTCCCTGGGCAAGACATTGAACACTTTGTTGCCTCCAATGTGTGTGCCATATGAATGTGATCTAAAGCACTGAGTAGTCTCTTTAGAATGATTTGTTCAATTAGCTTTGTAGAGATCTAGTAGAATGCTGTATGAATGGGTAAATGAGGACACAGATTATAGTGTAAAGTGCTTTGAGTATCTCAATAAGATAGAAAGGCGCTATATAAGTACAGTCCATTTACCATTTAAACAAGTCCATGCAGCTGTGCATTTCTCACACTATTCTCCTGGTGTAGTGAAATGGATGTCCAATCTTTTTCCTGCCATGTAAATCAGTCTTCCCATCATCAGTCATTTGGTAGGCAAAAGACTTGTTGCTTTTAACCACCCACTGAACAAACCACTGCCACGCGCTACTGACCCCTCTACAAAGCCACAAAAACAAAAATAAAAGTTGCGTGATAAGAAACTGCCAAACACAGGCACCAAAACGATCAATACCTCCAAGAAAAAACAAACAGCTGCTTGATCCTTGCAGACACAAGTAGATGTTCTTCCTTAGACGTGTTTTGATTGATTTCATGTAAATTATTTCCATTCTTCATCAGTTTCAGTATACATTTTCACATTCATCAGACCAACAACATCACTTGAAACAAACTTCTAGTCACCTGACAACACAGGCATACTAGTTTTTCTCATTTCATCTTTATGTACATACAGTACAACTGCAGCAGATTACCAACGTAGAACAACGTTGAACTACGTAGAACCAATCTCTTAAACAACAGAACATTTCTGGCCTTTCCCATTTGTAGCTCCTGTCATGCTGTTTATGTCTGCAGATTTGTTAAAGGGCAGCTGTGGCTGAGTGGTTAGAGCAGTCGTCCGCCAATACGAGTTTGGGGTTCGATTCCACCAGCAGTCACGTGCCAAAGTGTCCCTGGGCAAGACATCGAACCCCTTATTGCCTCTGATGTGTGTCCCATTGGTGTATGAATGTGATAAAGCACTGATTATTCTTTGTAAAGATATACTAGAGTGCTGTATGAATGGGTAAATGAGGGCATCGATTGTGTTGTAAAGAGCTTTGGGTATATTGATAAGATATAAAGGTGGTGGTGTAACGGTACACATGGGTGTATTGAACCGTTTCGGTACAGCATGTTTGGTTCGGTCCATGTGCGTACCATTTTGGTTATTTTTTCCACTCATTAAATTTTATTAACGAGACATTATGCGCCACGGAACTAAAGTTCCTAAGCATGTTTCAGCACGGCACTATAGTTTTGCAGCACGCGTAGCATTAGCAGCCTAGCATCTCATTGCGGTCTCCTGTTTGGGAACATTTTGGCTTTCTTGTTAAAAGACAAGTGAACAAATCCAAAGCTGTGTATCGATGTTGTTTAACAGAGATTGGATCTGCAGCAGGCAGCACGTCTAATTTGTTAACACACTTGAAACAACATCATCCGAATTTGAACATCTCTTCTACAAGGAAGAAAAGCAACTTGTTGCAAAGACTGAAAACAGCAGTATTTAAACAATCTTTATCAGGTAATTCAGATCGATCCAAAGCAATAACACAAGCTGTAGGAGTTTTTAAAGCTCTGGATCTACGTCTGAATTCTGTTGTTGATGCGCCGGCTTTAAGCATATGATTAAAGTTCTTGAGCCCTCCTGCCTATGACATCCATCACGTCAACACTTCAGCCAAAAAGTTGTACCAGCACTTTATGAAAAAGCTAAAACTGATCGTCAACAAGCCCTGGAGCCCAGATTCAAAGCCCTGCCACATCGATGATGAGAGAGATTCAACCACCTCATAAAAGAAATGATGACTGTGCAAAAAGAGGTATTGTTATTCTAAAAAAGTTACATCTGGTTCTCTGGTCATTCAAAAAACAAAACAAAGAAAAACAACAACAAATAATGTAGAAACGTTTCGTCTTTCATCCGAAAGACTTCCTTGGTCTGAGGTGCTGTATTCAGCTCAGTCTTATAAATAGCACCTTCTATAGCACCTTCTCAGAGCGGATCAACCAGTTTGCTGCTGACAACCAAAACCAGCTGCTCACATGGTCAAGAAGGACCATCAGCCTAACAATGGATCATTAGCACACTGATGGCTGTTTACTATTCACAGGAGGCTGAGTTATACTAGCAATAACAGCATTATAAGAGGGGGACAGTTGAACCCGGAGGCCTCCACCCCTGTTTAATGATGGACGATTTCTTTTCACAAAGATGGCCTCCTTTACTCCTCTCTCAAACCATCGTTCCTCTCTATCCAGGATGTGAACATCTTCCTCCCTGAAAGAGTGACCGCTGGCCTGGAGATGAGTGTAGACCGCAGAGTCCTGGCCTGATGGTGTTGCTTTTCTGTGCTGGGCCATCCTTTTGGCCAGTGGCTGTTTAGTTTCCCTGATCCACTCTGAGAAGGTGCTATTTATAAGACTGAGCTGAATACAGCACCTCAGACTGAGGAAGTCTTTCGGACGAAATACGAAACGTTTCTACATTTTTTTAATTGTTTTGCTTTGTTTTGTTTTTTGAATGTCCAGAGGACCAGATTTAACATTTTTAGATTTTTCTGCCTGGATTATTGAGCATGCATCAGGAGGTATTGTTATTGTATTATTCCGATCTAATTAACTTTTTTAATTTCAAATTATAATCTTAAATCTTTTTTCTTTTTTTTTTTTACCTCTTTGTGTTTGCAGTCTGAGGATGACACTGAGAGCTGAGAAGCTGAGTCTTCTTCCTCTTCAAGGAATTTGTTTATTTTTATATAAATGTATTTTTTACTTGGCATATTTTCAAAATAAATATTTTGTAAGTCTTTACTTTGGCCTTTTTTGTACCGAAAATTAAACGAGCCGAACCCTCCTTGAAACTGAACCGAACCTAAATGTGATTTTAG